TATCAAAACTGCAGTCTCATCCAATCTAGCCACTCCAAGGTTGTTGCAATCTCTTCAGTTTAGCATCTTCCAGAAATCTTCTAAGTATGCTGTCTATTCCTCATCCAGATCATGAAGCAGTTTAACAGCATCAAGCTCAGGATGGAGCTATGTGGAATCATTTTTTGCAATGAAAGTGAGCTAGTCTTCCCAAACAGGGCATTGTGCCAGCTGTACTCAGGTCACATTTGCCTGTTACTTTGCTGAGACCATCACATGGGTGTTCACAGAGCATCAGCCCTTCCCTGGGCTGGGATAGTCCAGGTGTCCCAGGGCTGCCACTGCTTTCAGACCCCTCCATAGAATTAAGCTGATCCTGGCAGCAACACCAAGCAGTAACTTCTGTCTTTGAGGAACATCCCACCTCCTCTTCTGTGTCAGTTTGGAGCTAATGGTAATGAGAAAGGGTGCTGGAAATGCCTGGAGTGGGCATTGAACCATTCCTGCTACTGCCCTGACCCCTGTGAGATCAAAGCCTTTGCCAAGGTTTTCTGCAGCAGTTAAATGCCTTCACCCCAAAAAGGGAAAGAATCAGATGCCAACTTCAAACCTGCCTTTAACTTCTGGGCTAACTCACAGGCCAAGGGTAAGATTTGGGTACTTCTTGTGAATGTCTGTGCAGGGGATGTGCATCCCCTGTGTGCCTGCTGGCCACAGAAGCTCATTGTGAGCATGATTCCTCCCAGCTCTTGCTGCTGTGGTGGACTCAGAAGACACAGACCCTCTTGCCATGGGGTAGCAGAGCTGTAGCTTATTTAATTCTGGCACACTTTGTTGGGAGGGAGCTGTGTCAGAACAGGGGAAGCAGGATCCCAGCTGGCCAGAATGGGCTGGGCTGGTTCCCCAGTGCCACCCACACAGCACAGCTCCCTGCCTTGCCTGGGCAGCCCTTGGGATTGCTGTTCTCCTCTGTCTTGTGCAATGCCCAGAACTTAATGAGAGCCCTCTGTGCTGCCTGCTGCAAATAGTCAGGGAAGTTCACTGCACTACCAAGATGTTTTCCTGGCCCTGGCCACCATCCCATCCCACCTCACCCACTTGTGGCTTTGAAGCACTTTTTCTCACATAGCTGGGGTTCCATCAACTGCAGCATGAGAGCTGAGATGTTTCCTGGAGAGATGGCCTCTGAAAGGGTCCCAGCTGGGGACAAGGCACTTCATGTCATAGCAGGGCTTATCACCAGGGCAGCATGCAGGAAGGGTGAGGTGCTTGTCAGGGGTTTGGGTCAGTGGCACAGAGACTTCCACAGCTGCTTCTGGCTTCAGTCTCTTGGTGGCACATACAGAGCTTTTTCCATTTCATTCCTTGCAGGTGCAAGCTTTGATTTCCCTTGCAGGCTCTCAGCCCCTTTAGCAAGAGTTTGCTCCTGCTTCTCATTACTATACAGACATAGTTGATCTAATGGCTTCTACAGGTGGCGTGGGGTACAACAGGGTCCGGCCATGGTCTTCAGCTGTCATCCAGAGTCAGAGTTAATCCGGAAAACAGTAAAAATTAGTAATGTATATTGCATTCCTCCAGGCCATACGCTTTCCATTAGGTGATCTTCCATCCTCCTGAGCACAGAAAGGAAACTCTGCCAATGGCAGTCTTCTGGCTCTGAAAGGATTGGTCTTGCCTGGAAATCCGATCTCAGCTCTTGCATTCCTGGGCACACTGTCTATACAGGGAATAGTCTCCCACCTTTAAATCCAGGCAGCAGATGCTAGCCATGTGCACAGCCTGTAAGCCCAGCAGCTCCTGTGACAGCAGATGTCCCGGGCTGGGAGCCACACTGGGGTCCCGTGTGCTGGTCAAGGTCTTCCTGCGCCCAGGCCTCTGTCAGGGGAGTGGCCTTGCCCACTGTCACATTACTCAAGTACAACAGCTAGGTCAGGATGGGAATGAGGCACAGTTAATTCTTTTGAGAGATCACATGTTAGGGGTTTTTTTATTAGTAAACTGGTGAAGAAATTCCTGAAGATCCCCAGTGTCAAGAGGGTTACAGAAAGTGAAACATTCAGCTTTCATAAATAAAGCTTATTTTCCATCACTCCCATACTTTAGTGGCACAAGAACAACAGTTCTGTAATGAATGTTACAAAGTGCAAACTCCGTCCGTAATGATGTGCAGATGAAGAAGAGGAAATAAAAGACATTAATTTCTAGGTGTGACTGCACATGCTAAGTGTGGTCTGGGCTCTTTGAGGTGTCACGAGCAGTCTGGGGCTCTGCTGTGTGAGATGGAGCTCCATGTGTGCAGCTACAGAAAGGAAGTTCCGCCACTGCAGCTCCTGCTCCAGACAAAAAAGGTCCGGAAAACTCTGTTTTTAGTGCTGTTGGATACCTAGCTTGCAGGGCTAACTCTGACCTGTTTTTTTTTTTATCCCTACTTTTGCAGAGAATGTGATCAATGGGCAGGACTATGAGGTGATGATGCAGATTGACTGCGAAGTGATGGACACCAGGATCCTCCACATCAAAAGTTCATCTGTCCCTCCATACCTCCGAGCACAGCGCAGAAATCACACCGACACCTTCTACAGCTCGTCGCCCTCCGTCCCAGAGATGCCCCATGCCCTGAGGGCCATTGTCAAATCCCTGCAGTAGCTCCTGTGACAGTGCACAGGGGAGCACCAGCATGCAGCAGGTCCTGCCGTCAGCCTGAGCCCTTTCCCTGGCAGGTCCTGGGCCTCCTGGCACATGGGCACAGCAGGGACAGCCCCTTTAGCCCTTTCCTGTGCCTGACCTTGCCCAATGGCCGCATCCTGCCTGGGGATAATGCAGCTCAGCTGGCTCCAAGCCAGGGACAGTCCTGAGGGCCCCACACAATGTGGGGGACACGGGCCATCCCTGCTACTTATGCGCTGTCCAGAATTATGGGTTGTTTTTCATTTTTGTCCCCGTTAGGCTGCCAGAGGTGGGCTGATGAGCCAGAGACAATACAGCAGACACTCACACTTGGGATGGGGCCGCTCTCCCTGCAGTGTGCCTGGGCAGCAGGAGGAAGTCCAGCTCCCAGCTTCAGGTGCTGGGCCTGACCAGACAGCCCCACTCCTCATCATTTCCTCCCAAATCCTGCCTGTGCAGCCTCCCTCAGCAGAAAGCCCTGGGATGCAGCAGTGTAGTGGAGCAGCCTGGCCCAGCCCCACAGGAGGGTGCTGGGGCCCCGCACTCACCACTAAAGCACTACAAACAGAAGAGCCCCACTGCCCTGGGGCTGGGCTGCCCGATGAGCACTGCCCACCCCGCATCTGCCTGGCTTTCCAGGATCCTGCTGCTGCCTTCCCCGGCCCACGTGGCTGCATGGCTGAAGGCTTGGCCCAAAGGAAGTGATTTCATGCAGCAGATGCATTTGTAAAGTTTGAGTTTTTTGAGTTTGTTTTTTTTTTTCTTCCTGGTTTTTGTTTGCGTGGGTTTTTTGTGTGTGCTATTTAATACTTTTCTGCTAACTGTTTTACTGCTAACAACTGCCCGTGGAGCAACACCGGCCTTGCTGGGGCAGAGGGGCTGCTTCAGTTCCATAGGACAGAGCCACAGCACCTTCTCCTGAAGCCACACATGCGTCACACACACTCAGCACCACACACCCCTTTCTGCCTTGCCAGCACAGCCACTCGCCAGGCAGCGGGGGAACGTTCCATTTGCCCCAAACACTGGCCACAGCCAACTGCTGCCATTCCAGAGTGGAGCTCTGTTCTCCGATCCTGTGTTTGTCAGCTGGGCCCTAGGCCAGAGCTGGGCCCAGGAGCTCCAGAACACTGGTGCTCAGCTGGGATGAGCCACCAGCAGAACATCAGCCTTGCATAATGACTTCAGCATGTTGTTATATTATTTTTTTCTCCCCTGTGCAGTTCGCAAAGAGGACGATGAGCTTCAGCTTGCGAGCCAGCTGTCTTTCCTTTATGGTTTGAGCGCTAACTGGCTCACGTGGAGTTTTTAATTATTATTGTTATTATTTTTCATGTATGTGTGTGGCTGTTAGGAAATACAGGTTGATACCACAGCAAGACAAACAGCTCCAGGGGCAATGAGGAGGAGGATGAGGAGCAATACACCCCTCTGAAGTATGTGCCTTGCAACACAGAGAAGCTGTGCCCTTTGCCACGTCCCCGGCACGGGCAGCGCAGGCCCCGTCCTCACGGCACTCGCGCTGCTGGGAGGGAGCTGGGCTTGGCGGGGCTTTGGCTGTGCTGCTCGCACCAGTTCATTTTCCTGGCCTGGCCCCACCTGACTGTGGGCCAGCTCACAATAGTCAGAACTAAAAACCCCAGCGGTGCCCCAGCCAGAGGCACACGGCTCCCCCACAGCTGTGGGTAGGGGCTGCTGGCTGCTCTGGGGGCATTTGCTGCCAGGGAGCTGGGGAGGGGACTGGGGTGGTGGCTGGGCTTGGCACAGCCTGGCACATTGGGAGGAGCTGCTGGTGGGGGCTGGGGGCTCGGGACTGCTGTGGCAGCACATCCTCAGCCAGCACCCCTGGGCTCTGGTGCTGGAGAGCATCTCTCATCCTGTGTAATTCTGTTCTCTGTGTCCCTAGTACTGAAGGCAGTAAAATCCTTCTTTTATTTATTACTAATAACTTCATTATTGTGCGTGTTAATACTGTTTTTCTTAGGCAAACTACTGGAACACCTGCCCTGGTCTGCCATCTCTTGGGCTGCAATGTGGCTCTGCTTGGCACAGTGTTGGCAGTGCCCGTGGCACATCTACCCTGTCCCCTTCCTTCTGCTGGGGAGCGGGTACCCTACACTGGCCCAGAGCTGCTCACCCAGAGCCTGCCAGAGGAGCCCATGAGGGCTGGACATGGCATGTCACCCTGCCCCAGTATCACTCCCAAGCAGCCTAAAGCCATCTGGGATTTGTCTCCATCTGGTGTGTAAACTGGCTCTCCCCAAACAAACCAAAACACACCCAAAACACCCCTGTGCATTTTCATGCACCCAGAGGGTGAACCAGAGCCAAAGAAAGGCCCGAACAGCTGCGAAGGTACTGGATCCTTTATTACTGACAGCAGGTAAATACAAGATGCTGATGGGCAGGAGGGCAAGGGCTGTGCCCTCCTGTGAGGGGATCCTGATGGTCCAGGACCAGGGTGGGCATGGGCGTGAGAGGGAATGTAGGAGTGGAGTGGCACAGCGAGGGCTCTGCCAGCCCCAGCCCAAGCCCAGGCAGCCCAGCACCCAGCTGAGCAGAGCCTTCACCCAGCAAATGCCAAGGAGGACTATTTGGGTTACAAAATGAACAAACAAAAGCCATCTACACGTATTTACAGCATCCCCCTCCTGCCGCCAGCTCCCTCCAGGCATGAGTCAGGGCTTGGGGTGCACCCATGCCCCCAGAGCGGCCTGCGGAGAGCAGAGCCCCAGCTGGAGGGGACAGTCCTTGACATAAGTACCAGCACCAAGGGCTGCTGGAGCTGTGCTCGCAGCCCCGTTGTACAGCAGGATCTCCAAGGGGCCTGCTGGCCATCAGCTGGGAAGATGGTCCTGAGACATGACATTCTCATGGGACATGCAGGTCCTCCACCAGGACAGGCAGGCAGCAACATCCCGCTGGGACCTGGTGCGTGCAGCTTTGCACTGGTTCAGGGTGTCTTGCTGGTTATCTGTGGCTAAAAACATCATCAGGATGGTGGTGTCTGGGCCACCTCCTCTTCCCTGGGTAGGAGAGCCAGGCCTGCCCTTCCAAAGGAGGACCTCCTTCCCCTGGGAAGGAAAATCAGAAGCAAGGATACAGCAAATATGAAGGGGATACTTTTGGCCTGGGGATCGATCTACAATCCGCCATAAAAAGCCAGCTTGAAACAAAACCCATCATTTACTCTTCAATTTGTACAAAATAACAATAATAACAATAAAAATAATAATAAAAGGTGCTGGTGGCCCCTGGCTTGCAGTGCCCCACTGTGGTGGGGGGGTCTCAGTAGGCAAAGATGACATGGTAGGTGACTTGGTGGCCATTGTCCCAGGCGTAGAGCAGGCGGTCCTTGGGGTTATAGTCTATCTGCGTGGTGTAGGCATACTCATTCTCAAAGAGCAGCCTAGGGATGATCTGCGTGTTGGTGTGCGTATCAAAGGCGTAGGAGATGTTGGCATTCCTCTTGTTGTAGCTGTCGACCGCATACAGGACCCCACAGATGACAAAGCAATTCCCGTAGAAGTTCTTGCGCAGCCCCGTCCGCCACGTGGTCTCCTTCTGGGTGCTGAGATCAGCCGCATTCAGCTTGCTCAGCACGATCACCTCCTGGTTGAAGCCCTCGTAGCTTATGGCTGGGTAGATGACCCACAGGCCGTTCTCATCCACGGCAAAGTCCACATCAGAGTGGCCTCGCCACCGCCACGGGGTGGACTCCTCATAGGCCACGTCGTGCAGCATGGCCCAGGCGGCCACGTAGCGCTGCTTCAGGTCGTACTTGATGATGTTGCGCGTGAAGGCCCGGTTGTAGTAGAAGGAGCCGTTGTAGACTACGTGCCCCGTCCCAATCCAGCTGTACGGGAGCTTGTAGGAGTTGCTCCAGCGACCTGTGTGGGCAGACACACTTGGCTGCTGAGACCTCCCTTTGCTGTGGGGTGAGTGGCCATGCCAGCGGCACCCTCTGCCCACAGCTCTGCCTGCCCTCCCTCCCTGGCCACCAGCCACAGCCTGAGCTGTCCCTATGCTCTGTACCCCACACACCGGGTACCAGCATCCAAGAATGGAAGGTCCCCAGGCAGATCATCTCCCTTCGATGCAGCATCCCCAGGAATGAGGATGCTGCTTGGATCAGCTAAGTGGTGGCTAACATGGTATCAGAGATGGTGCAAACCCACCTTGCTTGAAATTGTCAAGGTTCCTGAACTCCACCAGTGTGTTCCCATAGTAGTAATTGGTGACATAGATCCGCTCCTCCTGGGCCAGGGGGTCCTTCATCCAGGCTCCCTCATTGCGCCCATAGGTGTTCTGGGTGGTGGGCCCCGAGATGGTGGACAGTGTGTCCTTGCAGCGCCCTGTGTGAGCAGGGAAAGGCTTTTGAGGCCAGAGGCAGGGTGGCCATGCTGTCCCTGAAGGCATCACCCAGCTCCAAGCCCACCCAGCAGGTACCCGCTGCCACCTTGGCTCTGGTGCAGCTTTGTGAGGCCCAGCAGGACTGGCCAGACCCCACAAACATCTTCCCACAGCCTCAGTCATGTCCCTGCTCCAGCTGAGGCTGCTGCCTGTCTCAGGTCCCGTCTCTTTTTGCTCTGCCCAGCCCAGTCCCTAGAGGTGAGGGGAAACTACAGTAGGTTCCAGAGTTCATTATTAAACCTGGCACCACAGTGAAGTGCTGTCCAGCTGCCATCATCATGACACCTCCCACCTGTGACCAAATCCAGGATCTTGTGCTTAGCAGGCCACGCTGCGGGCACGAGCCAGCCCCCCCTCACAAAGCTGGATGGGTGCAGCACCTGCAGGCACTCACCAATGATGTTCCTGATGTCTTCCTCCTCCAGGACCTCTTTTGGGGTGGCAGGGATGGATGAGCTGACCGGCGTTGCGGGGGTGTTTGCCTGGACCCAAGCCCCTGGGCTGTGCTCCATGTCACTCCAGCCTCCAGCAGGGGTGGCCACAAGCAAGTTCTCTGTGGCTGTGGCTGTCACTGTGCTGGCCATGGCTGTAGGTAGCTGTGGAGTCCCCTCCTCTGCCAGCCCTGCCGGGGCAGTCACGGACTGCGGGGCGGGGATCAGCCAGCTCTCGGCGGTGGGGTCTGGCGCGGCAGGGGACAGCGGCACCGTGGATATCACAGCAGTGCCAGCAGCTGGCAGGGTGGTAGGAGCTATGCCAGGGGTGGGTGGCCACCCCACTGGGGAGGGCTTTCTCACAGGCTCGCCTGCCCTGTTGCTGGGCCTCAGGAGCTGGTCCTCTATCAGCAGGTCCACCGTGTTGTCCCCGCTGAACAGCTCGTCCGCTGCCAAGCACAGACACAGGTGTCAGCCCTGCAGCCAGGGGAGCCAGGCCCCTTCAGCAGGCTCCCTGGCCACTGCTGCAGGCTGTCTGGTACTAAATCCACCTGTGTTCCCTCTCCATGTCCCCTCAGAGAACTGCAGAGGCTGACAGTGTCCATGTCAGGAGGTGAGTGAGGCCCCATCACAGTGACATCCACCACCTCAGGCCAGGCAGAGTGGAAGGCGATGGAGATCAATCCTGCCCTGCCACCTCCCAGAGATTGGGCAGGATGGAGACCCAGCTGCATTCCAAACCCGATCCCACTCACCTAACCCAGGATGCCAAAGCAGGAGCCTCAGCCAGGGCACGGGGATCACTAGGATTCCCCAGCCAGCTCGGGCACCCTTTGCTCCTCCTCATCTCCAGGAGCTCACAAACCCCTACAGGGCAGGGCTGGAAGTCCTCACTGCTGAGCCAGTCCGCACAGCGAGGACACTTGTCCTTCTGCCCTGCCCGTGCTGCCCACTCCGCTGGTCCAGGCGGGCTCAGCCCTCAGCTGCCTTCCAGCACAGCAAACACTGCACAAACCTCCCAGGATGCCATCAGGCAGGCGGATTTGAAACACGAGTGTATTTAATAAACCTCAATTTACTTCTGGAAGGGTGTTGATGCTGGGTGTTTTGAACCAAACCAGTGAGCTATTTCCTTAGCTACCAAGGGTTTTCCATGGAATAACAATGCTGCACTGCCCTGCATACACAGCTCAAACGCTGCACAGCGGTGAGGTACCAGCTGTCCCATCTCCCCCTGCTGCCCCCACACTCCCAGGGGATAAGGCACTGGCTTTGCTGCAGGATGCAGCCACCATCCCAACAACCAGGGCTGCATACCCAACTCACGTTGCTCCTCGATGTCATTCTCTGACTCGGTAGACTGGGCTTTGTAGTAGGTGACCCCTCGGACAATGGTTGGCTTAGAAGGAGGCCGGCTCCTCACCCGCAGCTTCCTCTGCAAGAGCTGCTCAGGCTTCTTTTCCTCCAGAGAGAGGTGCAGCTCCGGGAGGGATTCCACAGAGTTGATCTGCTGGGAGATGGTTTCATCCTTCAGGAATCTTTCTTCATATTTTCCCTAGAAGAGACAAAGTAGGTTGTTACCAGATGGGCGAGAAATGTCCCGTTTTGGTGAAAGGGCAGGTCAGGCTGCACAGGCTCCTGCGGGGCTGATGGGCAGCCCCTCCTTCCCTAGGGTCTCCCTCAGTCCATTCTGACATGGGAAACCCTTCAAAACACAGCAGGGTGGCAGACCAGCGCTGCTCCTGCATATCCTTGGTGCCACCCTGCAGTTCTGGGACTCAGGGCTTTACAAGGCACACGCTGTGGGATGCAGGACAGGCAGGAGGAGTAGGGTCACTCCCTGGAATGCCAGGGGCTAGTTCCAGCAGCTGATCTGCAGAGTGTGCAATGTGCAATGAGCTTTCTAGGGCAGAGAGGCTGAAGGCACCTTCCCAGCACGAGCAGGAACCTCCCAAGGCAGAGACCAGGAATACCCCCCAGGGCAGGGACCAGCTGCCACAGCTCAGGTCTGAAGGATTTCATCTCATTAAAGAAAATCAGAAAGCCAGCCTGAGGATTGAAGCTGTGCCCATTTGGCTGAGGAGATGGGCCCTGCTGCAATTAGCAGTGAGAAAAGGAGAATATTGGGAAATGAGGTCACTCAGGGTAATAAAAGCCCCGCGCTCTGCTCCCCTGCCTGGCTGGGGCTGGCTCCTCTCCAGCAGGCAGCAGCTGCTCAGCTCACGGTATGGGGAGCAGGGGAGTGGGGCTGGGAGCACGGCCGGACACCCCTGGCTGGGCACGGCTCTCCCTGGGGCAGGGAGTGCTGGCACAGCACAGTTGGTGCCATTTCCCTCCCTACACAGTGCATGTGTGGGAGCCCACCCCTGTCCCCAGGGGCTTGGGGAGCCCGTCCCCACACAGGATCTGCAGAGCAGGGTTGGAGGGCAAGCACAGGCCCTTGCCATCCTCAGGAGCTGAGCACCCCTGCTTGAGCTGGAAATTGTGCACTGTTTCCTCCGCCACCAGATACCTCCTACTGCCCTGCAGAGGGACACTGGGGTGCGGGCAGGACAATGCAGGAGCTGCCGAGCAGGGATCAGAGGAGCACGGGCCATCCTAGATAGCACCACTGAAGCAGCAAGAACTTCAGGACACCCTGGATGGACCTTTCCCCAAAATACCCGGCTCACATCTCTCTGGGGCTGCACAGAAACTGCTGCCCCAGGCAAAGGATGTCTGCATGCTGGGCAGACCCATGGGGATCCCCACAGTCTGGTGCTGGCTGCCAGAACCGGGGGATGCCCAAGCCCCTGTCTGGAGCCCACCAGGTGCAGGGGCTGGTGGTGGAGGGGTACTTGCCTGACAGGGAGGCAGGGAGGGGAGGCAGGCGACCGGCTGTCCCTCCACCGAGCCCCAAGCCCTGTTAATCAAAGGCTCTGTTTCCCAGGGCTTCCCAGCCGGCCCCGCAATGACATCATGATTTCCAAGCAGCTCAGCCACTGCTGACCTCGAAAACCAACAGCCCCGTGGGAAGGGGGGAGGCCGAGGGAGCAACCTCCCTCTGCTCCCACAGACATCCCGTCCCAGCAGCAGCTGGGCTGCGCCGAGACACACGGTTTGGAGTTGGAGGCGCATAAATGGGGTCACTCCAGCGAGGAGAAAATCACCCCAAAAGCCACCCCAGGGCTGCAGGAGCAGCAGCAGTGACACTGAGTACCTCTGAGTGAGCGTAGGCAGCCTCAGCGTCCCGCTGCAGAGAGCTCTCAATGTCGGCCAGGCTGTGGGTGAGGAGCCTGGAGCAGTTTTCCCTGCCAGGGGGATCCTGCAGACCCTCCTCCCCGCTGGCTCCTGCCCGCTGCCCTTCCTGCGTCAAGTTCCTGGCCATGCCCTAGGAAAGCAAGAGAGGACAGTTTAATGGCAAGGCGTGTTCTGTAGCTCCCAAACCACAGAGCTCTGTGCTGCCATCCTGGGCTCACAGCTGGGGACTCTCCATGAGGCTCCACTTCAGCTGCTAAGAAGACGCCCGTGACCCCAGTGGGATTCAGGAACCCCATCCCTGGTGTACAAATCCCAGATCCACTCTTTGCTGCAGGTTCCCACAGAGTGGAAGTGTGGCCTTGAGGCTCTTCAATCCCCACCCTCAGCCACATTTGCCAGCTTACAGAAGGAAGAGGAAAAGACAAGCTAAGACACCTTAACTCAGCCTAGTGTCCTTTGCCTGTGGCAGCAAATTCATCTTGCATTTATTAATCCCACTTTTCTGGCCTGACCACATAATGCCTGCACTCAGGGACTGCTGCTCCCCAACAACCTCTGCTCCCACAGAATCTGAGAATCTGGGGACAGGACAAGAGCCAGTGACCCTCAGAGAGCTGTCAGAGCTGTCCTGTGACAGGGACAGAGCTGGGGCTGGTTGCAACTCACCCATCAGGCAAAACCCTTCATCCTTCTCTGTCCCAAGCCACAGGCACATCCTATACCCTATACCCTAGGGATTGTTGCAGTCTCTGGTCATCACTCCTTGGGCTTCTACACCTCAAACAGCAACTGCTTTGGATAGGTGGCACATCAGTCAAAGCACTTTAGCACAGGCACTGGGGGTGGTTTCCCTGATCCCTCATTTTCAATCTGTTCAGTCATTAATTTCTCCTAAAAGCCACCGTGACCTCCATCTGTGACCTCAGAACTGCCAGCTGATGTGACAGCTGTGAGCTGAAAACAAAGCAGAGGAGCTGCCACACTAGAGAAGGTGCTCCATGGACCAAGAATTGGGGGTTCCTTTCCTCTACCAACACCATTGGTCTAAAATACCTTGTTGTACTGCAAAGAATTTGTGAAACCTTCCAACCTCTGCAAAAACAGATTAGATAATCCCCAGCCCCCTCCATGGGCATCTGAATTCCCAGTCTTTACCCAAGAATCATGAGTCACAGATTTACCAGGACACTTTGAGGCCGAGACCAGTGACACAGGGACTCTCCAGCAAGTGTTTTGCAGCAGTAAGCAGAGGAGCAGGAGATCTCATGATGCTCTCCCAGGAGCAGCTCTCAATACCATCCTCCTTTAGAGAGGATGACTGATTCCAACAGCCCTGTGCCCTTACCACTTCTCCTGTGTAATGTTTGGCTTATGACCTGCTTAGGGATAAAATCTGCCTCCCCTTGAGCAGAGAGGCAGCACCAAAGCCTGGCCTGTGATGCTGCTGAGGCTGCTCAGCTGCTGCGCAGGGCAGCAGCTGCCAAAAGCACACCCGCCCGGGAGGGCAATGCTCTGAAGCCATGCCAGGCTCCAGTTCAGCATCTCAGCTGTCCATGCTGTCAGAGCCCACAGCCGGCAGGGTGTGATCCTCCTCCACATCCTCTCAACAGGAATTCCCATGCTAAGCCAGCAGTAGGAGGCATTTCACACCTGCTGCCTGCATCAGCTCAGCTCTGCCCCAAGCACTGGCCGATCTCCTCCTAACCAAGGCCTCCCCTTCCTTTTTCCATCCTGTCCAAGTGCCTGCAGGCAGCTTCAGCTGCTTTTACATCTCCTGCAGCCTCAATTCTGGGAAATTAGAGACCCCTGTGAATTCCCTGCTCCTATACCTCTACAGCTCCATCCCAGGACAAACTCCTTCAGCCCCATGAAGCTTTCTGCCCATCTGTCTCCCTGTGACGGGCTGTGAGTGGAGTGACCAGGCTGAAAAGGTCACCCCGTGTGTCCAGCATGCCACCAGCACTGCTGGCTCTGAACCCCCCTGCAGAAACTAGCTAGTAGGCAGGGCCACTTTGGTACTGGAGCAGAGTGCAGTGATAACCCCAACTGAAACAACCCCTTGGTAAACCCAAGTAATGACTGAAGAACACACTAAACCACAGGAAGAGGGTGGGATTGCAAAGGGGAACATTGGTGCTTTTTTATTTTCAGACCTCAAAAACCCCTTTTGGGTCAATTTCCATGCTTGGAAACTCAAAGCCCCTCAGGCAAGCATGCTCCCTTCAGCAGTCTCCTTCCTGACCCTGGGATGGAGCACACCGCACCTTCCCGAAACACTTTGTAAGTGGAATTTTGGCTTTATAAATCATTGCCTCTCAGCTCCTGGCTGGAGACAAACAGGACTGCTCCACTCCAACAAGAATGTAGAATTACCGTCCCAGATACAGACCACACGAGAAAACTCCAGTATTTAATCTGGCAACCTGTTGCTACATAGCTGAGCACAGCTTAAACTGCAAACCCTACACTGTGCTAGCCAAAGAAATATTAAACTGTATGGAAGTGAAAATCATTTCACTGGAAGTCTGCTCTAAAATTAAATTGAAGGTTCTGCTCTGTTTTAACACAGGCCAAGACGTAACTTGGTCCTTCAGGAATGTGAGCTCCTTGGCTCCCCACAGTCCTGCTGAGTGTACCCCTGCACCAGCCTTGAACCTCTCGTCCCTACATGAAACAGCACCAAAGCTCCTGGTTGAGAGCAACCATCACACCAGCACACAAGTAAAACTGAGAAGAGGGGAAAATTAACAGCAGGGCCTTCTGACCCAAAGGAGATGCTGCTCCTGCTGAGCTCACAACTGGGATCCCACTTGCAGTCTAAGCCCTGAGGGACTGCGAGAGCTGGAGAAGGTCAGGCAAGGCTGATAGGGTGGGAATGCACTGAGCACTGCCTGTGATCTGGTCTGGTTCAGATCCAAGTCTGGTCTGGTTTCGTTTCAGTCAAATAGTTAATTAAAATTTCTTCCCAGGCAACATGGCTCTGAATACACCAAAGGTAGCAGGAACTTGGTTGGAGGCCAGTGCCACCAAGGGCGAGGACATTGAAGGACAGAAGGACTCACCTCCTCGAGCTTTTCCACCCGACCCACGAGCTTGGTCGTGACTGAGTGCAGCTTCAGAAGGTCTAAGCCATAAAAGGCACTTTCCAGCATCTCGACGATGGAGGAGAGCTGCAAGGCAAGGGGAGAACAGTCAGGCAGCAGCTCTTGATGTAACATACCCTCATGTAGCTTCTTCAGCCAAAATGTCAAGTGCACTCCATCTGAGTGCAAGAATTTGGATTAAAAGGCAAGTTTTCCCTTACACAGCCCTGCTGCACTGCTGCCCTGGTCAGAGCACAGCATGCAGAGTGACATTCGCCACCTCCACAGAGCCTCAGGACTTCAGGAGCACATTCTGGGTGCCAGGGATTAGTAGCAGAGCAAGGTAAAATGCTGGTGTCTTTGCCACCTCCAGGCAGGCTCTCCCACAAGCCCAAAGGCTTAACTACTCCACCAGTGATGTGACTGCCACCAAAAGAGGGAACAAGAAAAAGGCAGCTCAGTTTGAGATCAGACTCTGAGTTCGTGCCATCCTGTGCTCTTTTTCCTGGAACAAGAAGAAACTTGTTAAAAAGTTTTAAAATACTCTCAAAATGCAAGAGTGAAGAAATAGAAATTCGGTGCCAGCCTGGTAACAGTTGCCTTTCTGAAGAACAATTTTATCAGAGGGATTCTGCTCTCTCCTGCAGCCACCCACTATACAGACACCCTGTATTTAAGTCACCCCCACGCCTGTGTCGTGCCCAGCATCAGCCCTCGGTCACCCCTGAGGATGTGGACAGCAGAGCCCTTGTTCTGCATTTTGTCCTGTTTCTGGTGCTGTTCCACAGAGGACAGTGCTGAGCAGGGCATGGCTGGTGGGAAGGTCTCCTGGGCCACCTCCCCCTGGTCCCACACGTCCCCATGTGTCCCCACATGTCCAGCATGTGTTGTAGACTCTACAACCCCAATGGCTGAGCAGGATTTTCAGTGCACAGAAATTACTACAGGGCAGTGACATTTTCTCCCAGCAGCTACAAACTGGTCAGCAGAGTTTCATAAACATGGGAGAATCATAGGCAGCACTGCTGGCAGCACTTGGAGTTTCCACCCCAGCCTCTGCAGCCTCCCTGTGGAGCTGACAGCAAAGGAAAGATTTTTTTGGCCAGATAAAATGACAGCACTAAGAGACAAGAGCTGTTTTATGGCTGTGCATCCACTTTCCACTGAGAGCTGGATGGAGACAACCAATACAATGCACGCTGCCTGCCAGACAGCCACTGGAGACAAACACTTTCCCTCCGGGCTGGAGAATTTCCATCGATGCACAAAGGTTGCAGACTGCATTAACCTCCTTCCAAATGATCCTGAGCACAGCCTCCTTGCACTGACTCTCCACCAAGACCCCCAAAACTCTGGCTGTGCCTGCAGGCAGCATGCTGCCATTTTACAAAAATAGATCTGAGATAAAGCTACTCCCTGCCAACACCACGCTGACCTTCCCCCAAAGACCACACTCATGTTCCTATCAACTCACTGCTTCCCTCCCTTCACCCAGAGTGCACTTTGGCTCCCACTGGATTGATGGTCCATGAATTCCCATTGAACTTTACTAAAGGCACAGATGGGACTGAAACCTTCAGCTGGGAAGCCCAGCGCAGGCATTCAACTGAGTTTCGTTGCCTTGGGCTGTGTTCCTGCTGCCTGGATTTCTCTCTCTTGCTCACCATTCCCTCAGGGACTCATCCTCCAGCCCACCCAAGGGAGAGACCTTCCCATGGCCCTCCCACACATGGAGTACCCAGGGCTTTTGTGTAGATCATAAGAAAGTCTGCTAAAACACAGCATACAAATGACCCTGTGCCTTTCCTGCTAGACCAGGCAAGAGCGATGCTTGTTGGACCAGCAAAGAGAGTAAAACCCTTTGGGAGTGCTCAGAGCTTTGGGAGCTGCTCTGAGCTCCCTCACCTGCCCCTCGCTGATGAGCTGTGGGAGCTGCTCCTCACGAGTGGCTTAAGAACCAGAGCTGTGCCCTCGCCTACAAGAAGGGGCTGTTCCCAGTGATCCGGACCCCAAGAGGGGCTCTGTGCTTGGAGGGAAGGCAATCCTGCTGCCCAGCTCCTGGCATGGACCCTGGCAGCACAGAAAACCCTCGTGTGTGTGTGTATGTGTGTGTCTGGTTCCTAGAGGACAGCCTTTCACACCACCGCTGGCTGTGAGCAGCTCCCCCCTGGGAAGCGCAGCTGGAGCCAAGGGACAGCCTGACAGTTCTGCTCCTCCCGGAGGAGGATGTGGAGGGAGCTGATGGTTCAGGAGCACCCCTTGCTTCCCAGCAAGGGACCACAGGGGTGGCTCTGTCACCTCGGGGGTGTCCCCTCCCCTAACCACAGAGAGTTTACGACTCTCATCTAAGGCCACGTGGGACCTCCTGGCTTTTCCCCAGACGAGGGACCACCAAACAACTCTACACTGGGACTCCTCCTCCCCTGGAATGATGGATTGTCTGCCTGTGCCTGTTTATCTTCCTTAGCTGCAGGGAAGCTTGGACAAGAAGCTGCTAACTGTCTGCAGTCGGACAAGATGAAACACATCCTCAAGCTCCAAATTAATTAGAACAAGCCCATTGTGGCGGCCGCAATGGCAGCTGCCCCACAGCACCTTGCACACCACCCCCCTTCCCACCTGAGAGGGATTTAGGGGCACCAGGGCCACCAGCACTCAACCTGCCACTCCAGGAACTTGCCAGGACTGAACCAAGCCAGTGGCACATTCTACTGCCCTACCCTGGTTGCACACTGGAAAACCCAGCAGGGTCTGCTGCCAGCTGCTACCAGCAACAGGAAGCATCCAGAAAAAGTCAGGAGTACTTAAAACAAACACTGTCACTTTTGGAAAATAGGTATGTATTACTAGAGAGATAAAATACTAAATAGTAGAGAAGTGTCAGCATTTAGAACAACAAATCCATCCTGCCATTAGCCAGCTGTGCATCACACCCTCACACTGACGCATCAGCAGCTTTTGGCCCATGGAAGCCAAATCAGCTTTTTTGCGTGGGTCCTTGGGAGTCCTTCTCTGCAACACAAAAAAGTCCTGGCAGCTGCTGAACGGAGCAGAGCTGTCCTCCAGGGACATTTGGAGCTGGACAGAGGGCAGGGAGCAGACCAGTCCCTACTGGGCTCTCAGCACAGAAAGCCACGGTGAACCCCAGGCAGCACAGGATGAATCAAGTGAATCATCCATTGCAGCTGCTCAACTCAATCTCTTAAGCTGAGCTTGATTTTTATATCAAACATGCAGAGATAAATATAACTAGGAGATGGTTTAAGATAAAAGGTTAGGAAACAGAGGTTTTTTAGAAAAAGCTCAGAAAAAAAAGAAAAAGGCTTCACAAGATGATCTTGTCCTCAAAGAGTCAAAGAGTCAGGAGCTGAAGCTGCTCTCCTACCTTCAGGTCACTGCTTTCTGCCTCCCGCAGCTTCTTCAGCCTGAAGTCACCCTCACAAGGGTTGAGAGCTGAGGGGGGGGCCACGCACGCACACTTGCAGCTGGGTCCTGACGTGATAGTTTCCACCGTGTAAAAATCCTCCGCTCTGAAGGCGCCCTCGTTAATCCTTTGGCAGGCGCCACGGCCCAGGGGTCTGACCAGGCATTTGCAGCGGCAGTCGGAGCCTTCGGACACCGCCTTCACCTTGTCGTAGTCACCTAGCAGCTGAGCACAGGTCACCAGCAGTGAGCAAACCTCCCATCCTCTGCCTGCACGGCCAGGGACAAGCACAGCCTAGAGCTCAAGGTCCAAACAAGGACGCTCTGGACCCTGAGTCTTGAGGAAACTGGCCAGCTCTTCCAGAACCTGCCAAGCCAAGGAGCTTTCTAGAGAGCGCAGAGCTGATCCCTACCTACAAGGGGAATAAAAACTGGCTTCTTCCAACAGGGCTTTGAATTTCAAATACAAGAATTTTAGATTTTTCTGCTTTCTTTAAATGCTCTGTGTACATAGGACCCAATAAGTCACCTGCTACCCAGAGCAAGACTGTTTTACACATGCCAACGGGCCAAGGGTACACTGGAATAGTGACTGAAAGCCACCCTATAAGCAGCGTAACCTGGTGGTGAAGCAGTACTTTTGATTAGCCCTATACAATGCCAGGAATTTCCTTTACGGAGATTTGCAGACAGCGCTTCTGGAAGCCCAAGCACAAAAATAACTTTGGCGGTACATTTGCAATATTCTCTGCGTTAGCTATTTCCGAGGGCAGATAATAACATACTGCCTGATCAGCCAAATCGAACAGAAACCTCCACCACATCCCACTGGCAGGGAAAGAGCCCGGATCCCTCCCCTCGGCACGCAGAGGCCCCACCAATTCTCCTCTCAAGGAGTTTCCCTATTTCTGAGTCCCCCCGGAGAAATGCTAGGATGGAGTCTGTGAAGTGCTCCCTGATGGGGAGTGATTTCACTGTGCCTCCCGTGACGAACTTCCTCCGGTGCACAGCATCACTGAGCTCCACCGAGAACGTACACCCAGCATCATCCAGGATGCGCGCAGCATCAGCCAGCATCACTCAGAGTGTGCACGGTGTCACCCAGCACCGCCGAGAAGCCTACGCTGGGGAGCACCCAGCTCCACCGAGCACCCACAGCACGCAGCAGCACCCAGCACCCCGCAGGGTGCGCGCAGCACCGCCCGGCACTGCCGAGCCCACAGCCCCGCGGTACCTGCGAGAGGATGTTCTCCTGGTTGTCCGCCTCGTCCTGCAGCGGCTCGGCGGAGGGCCCGGCCGTGCCGGCGGGCTGGGTCCCTGCCCGGCAGCCGGCGCCCAGCGCAGCCAGGCAGAGCAGCAGCGGCAGCGGCCGAGCCATGGGCGGGCGTCGGAGGGGCCGGGGCCGGGGCCGGGGCCGGCGCAGAGCCGCCGCTGCTCGCTCAGGTGCGGAGCGGCGGGGCGGGCGGGGCTGGCCCGGGCTCCCGCCCCGCTCCTCCTCCTTCCCTCCCTCCCTCCGGCTCCTCCCTCCCTCCGCTCCTCCCTCCGCTCCTCTCCCGGTGCTTTCCCCTTCGGCGGGGGCTCCCCACAGCCCCAGCTCGCTGCTCGGGCCACTCGGGCATCCACCGGCCCGGAGCAGGCTGCGGGGAGCCCCGGCTCGCGGGGCTGCTCTGGGGAGCCGCCGGCCACCTCCCCAAAGGGCCTGCGCTGCCGGTCGGCACCCGGCAAACCCGAGCATCCCACCCTGCCATGTGCCAGGGAGCTGGGGCAGACGGAGAGTCATCCTCACAGCCTGGCTGGCTCCTTTCCCAGCTCCAGGAACAGCCTGGCTCTCACCCTCCATCCTTTGGGTGGCAGGGAAGCAGTCCCGATGGCATGGCATGGCATGGCACACCGCAGCTCTCCGTCGGACTGCCCACACTGAGGTCACACAAGCAGCATATTCCAAGAAAGGCTCCCAGCCATGAGTGCGGACCTCAGTGTGCTGACTGAAATTCAGGCTGACACCGTTGGGAAGCGGCTGTGCTCTGGCAGTCCTGTATCCTTGTGCACCTCCTGCCAAACGGAAATGTTCTGGACTCACTGTTCCCAGGGAACGCACTGGCACAGCATCTTGCACTGCAGAGGTGTCTGCACTGCCGTGACAATGGCTGGGCCTCACTGACACAGAAGGAAACCTGAGGTGCCCTTATAAACACACCAACGCAGGCCAGTACCATGTCCCAGGTATGGCACAGACTCACATTTCCTCCAAACATGCCCACACAGGCCACAGGCAGAAGTCACACACACAGCAAGTGGCACGAGAGGCCACATAAGCTCTTGCTGAAGCAAGGCTGTGCACAAGCCAAGCACCCCCGGTCCCTAATGCACACATGTCCCAAAACCACCCCAAATGTGGTGCCTGCAGCCCTGGGACCAGGCACCCTCCTTAGGGGGACTCCAACTCCTCCATCCCACCCCTCTCTCCCACGGTCACTCCGCAGGGATGGAGGTGCCAGACACAAAGAAAACATCTCGTGTGAGAGAGGAAGCGGCTGTGGCACAGGGGATGGCTGATGATGCTGACCTCAGGATTCGTGTGGGATGGCATTGTGCCTCCCTGTCCTCTGGCCTCCCTGGGAAGGGAAGCCTGTGGAGAAGGGGGCAGGGCCGTGTGGGTCTCTGCAGCAGGGCTGAGCAGAACAGAGCAGGAGGGGAAACAACCAGGGAGGCTGGGAGGAGAAGGACAGTCAGCCTTTGGCAACTGGAGAGCAGTGGGAGGCAAAGGCATCTCTAAAAACCTCCCCCGATCAGCCTCTCTCAAGGATAATAGGTCCCTTGAGCACAGGCTCCTTCACTTCTGTTTCCATGGCTCAACTTCCCTGAGGATAGCTACCCCACATGTCAGCACAGCTCCTGGGGCTGCCAGGCTGGCGCTTTGGGAGTCCCCAGCCTGTGCCCAGCTGGCCCAGAGCACCAGCCCCCCGTGCACTCATGGCACCGCCAGGGATGGCAGTGAGACCAGCCCAGAGAGCTGCCACGGCAAACAGAACCTAAAACTGTGGAGGCCTTTTCCTAAGGATCACTTTCAAAGGCTGGAAAAACATAAGGAAAACAAATCAACCACAGTATTTTGAAACTAAAAAGAAGGCTTTCATATGTTAGTGACATCCCTCGCTGATTTCTTTCTAAGGAGAAGAAAGCATTTCTATTGTTATTTATTTTGGGTCAAAGATGGGTTTAATCCTGTCCTTCTGGGGCAATGAGAGAAACTGACAGGCATTTTGAGTTCAGAGCAGTCATCTCTAGAGTCTGAATATTCCTCCTTCAAGAAAAAAAACAAGACAAATCCACAGATTGAGGAGGACAGCAGGGCAAGAAGGTGCGGTTCTGGCTTTTCTGTCTTGCTGGTAGAGACTGGCTCAAATTTGATGAGAGCAGAGGCCCCACTATCCCCGTATCCGACCCCATTCTATATTATTGGGGCTTGAGCAAAGTCAGGGCTGCCCAAGGATGCAAGTAGACAGCGCTCTTCAAAGTGCAACAAGAACAAACATCACCAGGTCTGGGTAAAAGGGAATTTAACAATCTCAGGACCGGCAAGGAGCGCTGTGAGTGCACAGACCTGCCCCCTGAAAGCACGACCTTGGTGCCTGTGCTGCAGGGGCAGCACCCTG